AACCAGAGCTCAAAATATCACAAGGATCCTCAAGAGGACAACAAAGACTGTTTTAAAAGATACTTGTACCAGATACATGAGAATCCAAGCTTTCTTATCTACGTTTTTAAAATTTATCACACAGTAACAAGTCAAATTTCAGGGGCATCCGTATACCAGAGATTATGGTACCGCTTCAGATGGGTCTCAGCCAGTCAGATTCCAGGACCGGAATTATCTGTTTTATAATCGAGAATATGTAAGCACGTTTGTAAATAAATTAATCATGATATTTATTGAAGGATCTAAATTTCTAAATCCATGTATCTATATAGCTGGTAGTATTACTGTATTTCACTTTCTTTGTAAACACATTTTGTTAACACCTGAATCGCAGGTGGATTCTGTTTTTTGGTCTGTTATGGTCTGTAGCTCAAATCCTGCTTAACTAAAAATTAGACACGAGAATTATTGGACAATGTTGTGAGGCTCCGGTGGAATTTCTCTGTAAACTGAAGAGTTATAGAGGAGACAGGTTGTGTATCGCTTCTTTTGACACTTGTAAAAAAAACATTCCAATGTTAATGCGACACGGAAGATAATGTGGTATCTTGGTCATTAGTAAAATTCAATCATTTAATCTCTTTACTGTGCACATTTTAATCCCCTTAGTATTGAATATTTATATGGAATTTTACCACTAAAGGGAAATTTTAGTAGCTAAGCATAAAATGCAGAGGAGCATAACGAAGGTCATAAAGGTCATAAACGATATTAATTTAGGAACATAAACATATTATGTAAACTGTATGTTGCTGTTATTGGTATTTTAAAGAACAAATACACACCAATACTCAATTTTTCCTAAAGTATATTGACATTTTTCAAATTTTAAAATAACACGTTCTTACCGTATGTACAGTACACAGCAATACCGCAGGTTAAACTGTAGGGCGCAAATCCACCCGAACCCAAAAGCCCAACATATTAATGTACATTCGCCTGACGCTGCGTGGTTTTCATCACTCTCTGCGGGAGTGCTGGCTGTGATGAATTAAACCGGTTTCACAGGTATTTTCAACCCCCAGCCATTGTTGTTTCATCGGTTGTTATCCTGTAAAGCGCTTTGAGAAGCCACCTTTAAAGGCACTATATAAAATAAAGTTTATTATTATAATTAATAATATTGATCATATTTTTCCTCCCAGAACTTGTAAATTGTTGTTGTTATTGTTGTTGTTATCGTGTAAAGTGCTTTGAGAAGCATACTGTCCAGCTTGTCAGGTGCGTTCTCTTGTAAAATAATAAGTAGAGCTTTGGGCTTATTAGTGCTCCACTTACAGCAACCCAATGTAAATACATTTTGTCTCCAAATCCACCACCACTTGTATGAATCATAGCCCTGCCAAACGATGCAAATTCCGCTGCAATGGTTGTGTACAGGAATTCTTCAGTATGGCACCTCCATGTTCAAGTAAACACTGCTCTGTGTGCAAATGCGAATGCATTTAAAAAAAGTTTTTTTTTAAAGCCACCTTTAAAGGTGCTATATAAAATAAAGTTTATTATTATTATTAATAATATTGATCATATTTTTCCTCCCAGAACTTGTAAATTGTTGTTGTTATTGTTGTTGTTATCCTGTAAAACGCTTTGATACACAACTCATCAATGTGTATTTTACCTGCCTTGTTGTTAGGATATCATGATACCACAAGGATCAATAGGATTATGTCGCTGTGGTGCTTTGGGTTAACACAAGTGCATGGTCCTCTAACAGGACTGAAGTGTATATTTTTGGTTTATAATCAGGGCTCAAGTGATTGAGATGGAGATTATCCGAGACAGCACCACAAGCCATAATTTGTAAAGTTTTCCTTTAGAAACATCATTCACAGCCTAAAGTATTGATAGTGATAGACATTAGTTTCCCACTAAGTCCTTTGGTTAAAACTGCTTGGACTTGGGACAAAGCACCTGTATGGATTTTACAACCACATACGAAAACAGGCTTAATCAGAGTTTCTATCAATGGATTTGTTTTTGTTTTGATTATCCGAAAGCCTTAATTTCCCCAATGCTTGATAATATTGCACAAGAAAAATACACAAGAAAAAAGGTATGTCAGTTACTCAATGACTTTATAAAAGTTTACACTGTTTTTGAAAAGTGAGATTCTAGACTCAGGTCCTGTTCAATCAGTTGTCTATTGATCTTTTTACTTTATAAAATGTTGCACAGAAGCCTGTTCTTTTTTCCTTTTTTCTAAAATAAATAAAACCTCCCTCTGTGCTGCTTCCAAGTGAGGAAATGATTCATTGATTCAATATAGTTCAATGTAGGAACTAAATAAAGGATAAGGAGACATACCATGTTTTATTAGGATCTTCATTAGATCAACATGTTCAGCTTGATGATTATCAATATTCATGGTACTGTACATCCCTTTATACCTCTATTTTCTTTTCTCATGAGAAGCCTTTATTTGTTTTTCTTTTAAACATTAAAAGTCAATAATATTTTAGTGATTTTTTTTTGGTAACATGCCAGCTCTCTATCCTGATTTTAGTAATATTTCTCTAATTACAAAGCTCTACGGAGATCCAACCAATCTTGTGTACTGCCCGTTAATGTGACTGGCAGGTTTTAGACAGTTCCTTATTAAGTACTGTACTTAAACACAGCCCTTCTATGTCATATTCCCATTTCAGGGATAGGAATGTTGTATATATCATCTAGTAAGTAAACCAAAAATATAACAACCTGTGTGGATGACTTTACAAGGAAGTGCTGGAATAGTACCGTAGCATCTACATCTTTTTTTTTTTCCTTTTTGGTGAACAATTTGTTTATTATTAGTACATCCATTGTTGATATCGCCCAATAAACTCCAGAAGTGAAGTCATAAAAAAGTGTAATAAAGACCTGACCACATCAGTAGCAGTTTATGACTCCACCATTCATCTTTGCCCTTTACGGAACCATAAATACGAGTTTTAAAAAATAAAGTGCAGAATACAGTGAAGTCAGGAAGGGAATAGAGAGGTTCCTTAAGTAGTGCCATGAATACTGTAGCTGCAGTG